ATATGTATCTTGAATTGCAAAATATAATAAAATAGAGAGAAAAAAGAAATTATTGGTAAGAATGGTAGAGCATTTATTGTGTAATATTTGAGATTATTTTATTAAATTGATTTCTCCCAATCGGGTTAATAAATATTTTAATTTTTTTTGAAGCCTAATGTATTGCGTAATTGTTTTAAATTATTTGGTAAATGTTCGTACAATTTCGGAGCTATATACAGGTGACATCGTTTCATTAGGGATTTGTTTGGTTTAGGAACATTTTTTGCGCGTAATTTATATCTGGTTTTATGATTATGTTTAATTATGTCGTGTTCACTAATAGTTTTGTGATAATGAGTGATGGTATGTAAGAAGTAAAGTTGTTTAGTATCATATACTTGTGCATCATTATATAAGTCATTAGTTGGGTATAATTTTGATTTGCCTAACATTGATTTTAAAATTCTTCTTTGAAGTACATCTAAATCGGTAAAGTATGTCGTGCATGCAGCACCCCACACTACTATACCATATGTTATGTGTGGCTCGACTAAAGCTTGATATATTATTCGTAGATAATATTCAGTTAATATACCGGTTAGAAATTTTATTTTATATGCTATGAATCTAATTTTCTTTAGTATGTGAGAAATATGTACATCCCATCTCAAGGGGGGGTCTAGATAAATTCCTAAATATTTTGTATCATTAACTCTATTGATTTTTATATTTTTATCATTTACCTTAAACCGAAGGTGGTTATATTTTGGTAGACGATTAGATAGTGATGAAAATGGTAAAAAATGAGTTTTAGTAAAGTTAATTGTTAATTTTCGGTTATTAAACCACTGAATAATTTTGCAAAAGTCATTTTGGATAATATCTTTTAAGTCGTTCCAATTCTTACCTTTATAGAGTATAGCAGTATCGTCTGCAAAACTAACTATTTTACCAGTACTGTTAATTTTGAATATATCGTTTAAATAAATATTGAATAACAGAGGACCCAAAATTGTACCTTGTGGAACACCACATTTAACAAACATTTCTTTACTATACGAGCTTAATAATTTTACTGATTGTGGTCTATTTGATAAATAATTTTCCATTAAAGTATACATCTTTCCACGAAAACCTATTCTTTCTAAGATTTCCAAAAGTATATTGTGGTTAACTGTGTCAAACGCTTTTTGTAAGTCCACAAATACGCATATCGATGGTACTTTTCCATCTATATTTTGGGTTATTTCATCTACTATACTTAATACAATACTTAATGCTGTGATAATGTCTCTATACAAAAGTCCTGATGCCGATATTAAAATTTTCTTAGAAAAGCTTGATGAGCTTTTAGATATTTTACATCGTAAATATAAAAAATGTAATATTGTTCTTTGTGGTGATTTTAATATTAATTTTAATAAGCGGACTTACTAAATTCGTATTCCCTAAAGCCAGTCATTGAACAACCTACGCGAGGCTCTAATTGTATCGACAATATTTGTGTGGGAGTGGATGTACAGTGTGAAACTGCTGTGGCAAACAACAATATTAGTGATCGATTTGCTCAATTATTATCATTGAACTGCCAAAAAGAAGAGCAACCACCGAAAATATCCTACCAATACCGAGACATACACAATAAAGCTAACATCGAGGTCTGTCTAGCTCTTCTAAGTCAAGAGACATGGGATCATATTTACCATTCGACTGGAAATACAATTGAGAAATTTTATTTCTTACAAACATATCGGTATTATATTGATATTGCATTTCCAGTAATACAAAAAACTATTAGAACATGTAAAGCCAGAAAACCATGGGTAACTGAAGGTATATTGATATCAAGAGATAAGCTGCACTACCTGTATGATCTGTCTAGGTCTGGAGACATATACTAAGTGACATATAAATCCGAACACCCAGTTTAAATGGTTTTGTATAAGTACTTAATGAAGCATAATAAGTAAATGATAAAAATTTCAAAATGATTGCACTGCTTTAAAGCCCTTTGACCTTTAATAATGTGTGGATGCACCCTGCATTCTCCAACGCGCCTAAGCATGCTTCTGATCAGGTGGTCAATGTCCTTCTGTGGTATCTCATTCCAGGCAACCACCAACTCCTCTCGAAGTGCTTCTAGAGTCTGAGGAGGACGTTGCAAATTGAGCAATCTCCTACCCATCATATCCCACACGTGCTCAATTGGGGATAAGTCGGGAGATCTTGGTGGCCATGGTAACAATGTGACATCATTATGTTGAAAGAAGTCTATTGTGACTCTTGCAACATGTGGTCGGGCATTATCTTGTTGAAAAGTTGCCAGGGTGTCAAGATAGGGTAAAAGATGGGGTTCTAGAACTTCGTTGTTATAACGCTGCGCGTTCATGTTACCTCTGATGAAGATTACAGGTGACCTGGAACCATAAGCTATAGCACCCCAAACCATAACTCCAACAGTGTGATGAACATGTCTTTCAACAAAAAACTGTGGATTCCTCCTTCCACCACGTCGCCTTCTAACCCTGGCACGACCGTCGTGCATGCCTAAACAAAATCGAGACTCGTCACTAAAGACAATACTGTTCCATTCCTGATCCCAGCGTGACCGTTGTCTGCAACACTCAAGGCGATTACGTCGGTGTTCTCGAGTTAAAGGGAGGACCCAGTGTGACCGGTATGAAAACAAGCCAAAACTTCTCATTCGTCGGTAAACACTTCGCATGCCAATAGGTCTTCCGTGTTCTGCAAACCACTCATTTGCAATGGACCTGGTAGTGGAGAAACGGTCCCTTAAGGCCAATAATCTTAGGCGGCGATCTTCACGGTCTGTTGTTCTACGGCGGCGTCTAGTGCTCCTTGCTCTTTGCGTACGGCCTTCTCGAAGCCATGCCTGACAACACCTAACCACAGTGTCTACACTTTTTTGCACTCTAACTGCAATTGCCCGAAAAGAAAGTCCAGCTTCCCGAAGTCCCACTATACGGCCCCTATCAAACTCACTAAGTTGACGAAATCGTACAGGTCTCCGTACTCTAGGCATCGTAACCGATCGTAAAGGATGTCAAGAACCAAAATCCGCCAACTTTGATTCTTTACTGCGGCTGAAATATTCATTTTTAGAGCGTTAGTGAATTAAAAAAAAGCAGTATAAAAACCGGAATGTCCAACTGATAAGGCTGAAAATTTTTTCACTTGTTATTTACAGTAAGATAAATACATTCACCAACTTTTATTAAAATAAAACCATTTAAACTGGGTGTTCGGATTTATATGTCACTTAGTATATTTCTCCATCCCAACGCGGATAATTTTGGTTATCGATGAACAGACAACCGACGTGTCATCAAAACAAACATCTCTCCAAGGAAAGGTGGAGAAGAATTCTCTGAGCCTTCCCAGTCCATGATGCCAAATTTTGCGGCGAGTTTCTGCTGCCACATCGGGAGGAAAAATCAAAAAACAGGAAGGTAAAAATCGTTTGAACTTCTGTTTGTGATGTTTCAAACACTACTTCTCATTTTTTTGAAAGTCTGCTGTTTGAGTTGATGATTGGGGGTGAGGGCTGTAGTGAGTGGGGGTTGTCAACGTTATATCAAGATGCTTCCGATCCCGGTAATACTACGCATCTATTATACAGGGTGACTTTGAAGTTGAGTCATTAATTTTCAGATAATGATTGTAGAAGGAAGATAAACCAAAATATGTGTGTGAAAATTAAAAAAAAAATTTACCTTGTTTTATAAAGTATCCTCCCGACAAGTATTTCAGTGCGGACCTGTATTTGATCGTGAGGTCTTGGAGCACCGGCATGCCGTCCATATGTGAGGTCTTAAGTCAAATGATTCACGAACCCGTTGTACTACATTAACAAAGGCACGAGGGGTTGGTTGCACTCGATTGGGAAACCGATCCGCATAAACATGTGCCATTTTTTATTTCGTTTGAGCCACGCAACAGACACCACTATCCACTACCGACTGACACTGACTGTATACAACTGAATGAAATAATTGTAAAAACATCGTTCCAATTTCATTCGCTTTTTGGTTTCCGATGCGATGAACCGATAAGGCGAATTATATCCGTTGTCGCCAAACACGAGCACATAATATTATTATTGAGACAGGGCGGTACTCAAACTTCCAAAGGGCTATAACTTTGTTACTTTAATTTTACCAGAAAGATGGTAAAGGAAAAAAACATTTCTTTTGATCAGATCTACTCACTGTTAAAATAAATGATTCAACTTCGAAGTCACCCTGTATATACAGGGAAATGTCGCACCCCCATTTCTGACTATCCTGGTAATCTTGAGAAAAACTCTCGGACACGTCAATTTCGATTTGGGGGGACATCTTTTCGTTTATAGCCGTACAATACAGAGAGATCCAAAAATAAGATATTGCGTTACAGCCATTTTTTTAATTTTTAGATTTTCCAAGAAGTTTCTTTAAGTTATTTTTTGTTTTTCGGATACTCGGAGAATTGTTTTTAATTTTAAAGTAAAGTCTTGTTACTATGGGAACTATATTGATGATTATTTTTACGATAAAATCCCTTATTATCACTATTTCTAGAATTTTATTATAAACATAAATAGCTTCACAACGATTGAGGATGGATATAGACTTTATAATACAAAGGTTATTAAAAACTTCATGGAGAATCTAAAAATAAAAAAATGGCGGTTTTTTTGGATCACCCTGTACTATTCGGCCATAGATGAAAAGACGCCCCTCAATCAAAATTGACTTGTCTGAGCGATTTTCCCAAAATATACGAGGAGAGTCACAAATAGGGGTGCGACCTTTTTGTTGGGCTGCCCTGTATAATGTTTTCGAAACGTTTGCTACTGAAATAGAAATATAATGTATAATAGACTTTCGAATACTGTATCAAAAGCCCCATCGAATGCATCAGAAACTATTGATAAAGTAGCTGTTTGAAATTCTCTACCGGAAAACTGGCCCAGCGTCCCAAAAATGACTTCAATTTTATTGTGAAATCCAAGATAATTTAGATAATCACATAATAAAACGTATGAACCAAGTGTATATCGTTTACCCATTAGATAGAGGATGCCTAATCGAACAAAGCAAAATACTGCATCGCTGTGATTCATATAACGCTACCAAGTGCATTTAATTATGAACGATTATCATAATATGGCAATCGCTATTATAGCAATTCAGAAAAGGTAATTTATTTTGTTCTGTATCGCAATGGTTGGTGTTACAACGCCGCCTTTACGTGTGTGTAGTGCGTGAGTGACGACATAGTAAAATGTGTGAGTGTCAGAATAAGTTAAAGAATCAAATTGGTGGGACTTTGAAATTTTTCGTGAGTACCGATTAAATTTTTTTCATAACTTCGTCATATACGCGATTCTACGGGGTGTTTCAGTTTATTGTTGCATAACTTGAAGATTCGATAGAACTTTTAAAATTAATGCATAAAGTCTAAATAAACATGGGTCGAAAAATGCGTGGCTTCCGAAATACATGTACTTTCTAAAATAGTTTTTTTAAAATATTTCGAACAATATTTGATGTACAACAGTGAACTTTGGTATACAAGGGTTTTTTGGTACGACAAAACGAACCATGGGCATAGTTTTACTGTAGCCGCTAGACGGCGCTCTCTACTGTTCCTGTATTGAATTAAAATGACCGAACATTTTTTCTTAGTGCATTTTTTTGCTTTTTGAATAAAAAAACTGATTCTTCGCACTTTTCTGCATAAAAAAGCTCTCTTGTGAGTTTTCGTTATAGTTAGCCGTTTTGGAGATATTTCGATTTTTAAGGTTCGATGCATTTTTAATTATTTATGGGAAAATAATATTTTTTTTTACATTTTCGATTTGGGCATTACAAGTAATTAAGATGATCGTTTAGATTGTGTTTTTAAACACAGCAATAATTCCTAACTCCAAATAAACACAAAAAAACAGAATATTAATTTGTTTCATTTTCCAATATTATTTTTAACAAATTAAATTAAGTATTTACAACTAAAATGCTATTGGATAGTTAGGACAAACATACAGAATCTAAAATAGTTGCTCGAAATGTAAACCCAATTGTTCAATACCCAATTCACATCTACGAATGATCGAACGTGGTATAGCATTATTCAAATAAGGCCTTATTTCATCACATGCATTCCTGATTCTGTCTATTAGCACATCTCTTGTGGTTACGGGAGTCTGGTACACTTTTTCTTTTAGAAATCCCCAAACAAAGAAATCTGATGGATTTAGGTCAGGGGATCGTGGAGGCCAGGCGAGTGGTCCTCCGCGGCCGATCCATCTTTCTGGATAATTTTCGTCCAGCCAGTTTCTAACTATTCTCGAATAATGAGCTGGACAACCATCAAGCTGGAACCAGGCCAATCTTCTTAAATCTAACATAAGATCATCCCACATATTTGCATGTTCAGCCTTTAAAAATTCCAAGAAGGTCGCAGCATTTAACCTTGCAGGCAAAAGGTAGGGTCCAAATAGTCGATTATCACCAATCCACACGTTCACACTAAATTCATGCTGAACATTTCTTTCCCGAACTGCATGCGGATTTTCATGCGACCAAATATGTTGATTATGAAAATTTACCACTCCACGTCTAGCGAAGCATGACTCATCGGTCCATAAAACGTTACTTAAAAACTCCCTATTATTATCAGTTCTATCAAGTATCCACTGACAAAATGTGATTCTTCGTTTTCCATCCCCTGGCTGTAGTCCTTGCACAGGTTGCAAATGGTAAGGACGTCTATGGTCATTTCTAAGAACACGGTGAACATGGCTTGCTGAAATTCCCAAGGCACCAGAAACTCTCCTAACACTTGTGGTCGGATCTCTATCAAACTCACGCAGAATCATACGGGTAAATCTGCGCTGACGAACATTTATGTTTTGATCCCTTTGGAGATCGTCGGTGGACATACTAGATTTTAAATTTGATGTTATAGTGCTAACTGAAACATTCAAAGTATATGATACAAGTTTGATCGAAATTCCCAATTATGATTTATATTATAACGATGGTAGTTTTAATAAAAATGACGGGGTTCTGATTTACGTAAGACAAAATTTGAACAGTGGGTATGAAATTATTAATATAACTCAAACAAAACTTTTACGAGTTATTCTTCAAAAGAATAATAAATGGATACAGATCATTGGTGTGTACAAATCACCCTGTATATCTGTAACAACATATAACGGTCAATTACATGATTATCTAGAGAGTAGTAGAAAATTTGTCATCAACTTATTCATTGGAGACCTTAACATTAACATATTAGATCATAACAATCAACATATTCAAGATTATTTAAATATAATGGCTGAACATGGTTACCTATCAGCCATTAACGAAATGGCAAGAGTAGAGGGAAACAGTGGGAGCTGTATAGATCATATGTTTATAAATTCACGTTTAGAACTTGACAAAATATATTCAGCAATTCTAAAATACAAAATTTCGAAAGTACATCAACCAAAATTGAAAAGGCAGTGAATAATACAAAAATTTACATTGATTATGAAAAACTAAATAACAACTTATAGTCAACGCCAAACAAAGTGGCGTGCACGTCATCAAGGTGGGTGTGTTGAAAAATTTACATTGTTGCCAAACTTTTTGTAAAATAATAAAATTTATTATTTACATATCTAGGTTTATAAGCAATATTAACCTCAAATGAGAACAAAAATAATAGTATAATAAAATTATAGATCTGTACTTGCATAATCATTAAGTATGACAATTATTGATCAGATGACACTATGAAACTACCATATTTAATTGATAGCTTAAAGGTACTGAATAAAAATCCAAATGGGGTCCTCCAAATTTTATGCATGGTATTTATTTTACAGAATTCATACAGAAAAATGCATTCTAAAATTAGGTAAGCTACTGGTGTAAGCTTTTTCTGTACAATAAAGTTAGTCGGAGTTTCTTTCTTCAGCGCTGTCTGAATCTGAATCTTCATCACTCTCAAAGTTGATTATTAAAGGTTCGATGTCTGGTCGATCAAAAATTCGTTCTCTTTCATACCATTTAAAAATTTCTTGCTCAGTATGTCGAACACTATTTTTCCACATGTCTGGGGTAACCGTTTGTAGAGCCTCGTTCCACATATCCAAACAGTCTTTTTCACTGTTACCATCTCTACCAATATGTCTGTTATAGTAACCTTTTGCTATGCCCCAAATTAACTCAATAGGGTTAAATATACAATGGTAAGGAGGCAGACGAAGAACTTTGTGCCCATGTTGTTCCGCCAATTCATCAATCACGTATATTTTAGGTGGTTTGTTTCTAAAAAAGCAGTTATTTTAAGAATAGGAATAAACAAAAGAAATATAAACTGTCGACCAAAATATATATAATTAAGAAGCATTATGTACCGAGCAACAATACTCAATAGCTCTGTTTTAAACATTGTGTTTAAAAATGGTATGTTTTGATTTGTCAACCAGTCTTGGATATTTTTTTTTGTCCATGCATTGTTGGGCACTTTGTTCAATATCATGCTGTGATAAGGGGCGTTATCCAGTATAATCATAGATGGACTCTCCAATTTTTCTAATAACTGATGTTGAAACCATTTCAAAAAATTGTCCTGGTTCATCTCTCCATGGTAATCGCTCAATTTTGTTTTCGAAGAAAATATCGCTTCACTACCCTCAATAAACCCATTTTCATTTCCAGCATGTAATATAATGTATCTAAAATATATTAGTTTTAAATTTTATAGTGCAAATTGTGTAAAAGTACATACCTTTTACCATCTGTTTTAATAGCTTTCACGCTTTTTTGGTTTCCATTTTGCCAAGAGCGACCTATGGTCCCATTTTGAAATATCCAAGTTTCATCGAGGAAGACAAACTGGTATAAGGCCTCAACCTTGGCTTGATTGTATTGCCTTAGAAATTCCACCCTTTTCAAAGCTATACTTGGTAGTTCCATGAGCCCTCGTCGCGGATTGTCCTTAAGCCACTTAAATCCAAGATCTCTAAGCAACCGCCTTAAAGACGTGGCACTACCATCAAATAATGCCCTATCTCTTAATCGAGACCATAAAGTTTGTATCGTAACTTGTTCTTCTGAAACCATGTGTAATATGACATTATAATTTAGTTAACAAATTAATGCAAATTTCTGATAAGTTATTATAATAAGATCTTACTTTTGTGATACATATTATAGATCACTTCTCGAATGGCACTTGTATCCAATGTCGCTGTGTTGGTTACACGTTTAATATAACTCCGCTGTTTCTTGGGCGATTCTAAATTTACATCACTTTTCACACCCTCGGAAATACGACTAACTGTCCTTAAACTAATTTTTAAAGCAGCAGCAACACGCTACAAAAAATGAAATAAAATTTCACTATTATTAATATACATTACATATAATTATTAGTAACCTACCTCTTGAACAGCATTTAAAGGCAACAAAGGCCCGTTGTTGTCCCTTTCTTGCTCAAAGTAGTGCATTAACGAGGCCACGAGTTCCTTACACCGACTATTTAACTGTTTGGGCATCTTTATATACCAAAATTGCCTTTATCTACTCGTAAAATGAATAATTTTGTTTTGAAACAAACAGTTGTTGATTTACAGTATGCGGGGCCAAAGGATTTATAAAGATTTGAAATGCCACAATTTGATTCAGTGTCAAAATTAATACAAATGTCAGTTCCCAGTTTAAATAAGTTTCAAGGTGACAATGTGTCAACGCTGCGAAATCGGTTTAGTGCGTTTACATGTCGATAAGTGATTGGAGCGTTTGCAAAACATTTTATTTCGCATAATGCGTCTAAATTTATCAGAAAGCAACTTATGTGATATTTTAATAACAATGCTTATATGACTATTAACTATAATAAGAGAGTAATGACCATTTTACAATTTATATATCACATTAATATGAAACTGCAATAGAGCAATTGTTTGTGATAGAAACCTAGGCATTAGGTCGGGGAATTTTTATCGTGATGACGTGCACGCCACTTTGTTTGGCGTTGACTATACTCAATGAAAATTGGATTGTAGTATATAACGAACCTAATATTGAAAATGCATTTGTCCTTTTTATATCTAGCATTGAAGGCCATATTGCTGAATGCACCAAAACAGTAAAGATTCCACGAACACAAATAAAAAGACAAGCATGGATATCAAAAGGGAGTATTACCTCCTTCAACAAAAAAATAGAATTATATAAGGAAACCAAAAAATATCCTTATGATGTTTAACTTTTGAATGAATTTAAATCATATCGAAACAGACTGACAAAAATAATTAAAGAGCCTAAAATTAAATATGTCCAAGAAGAGTTTGATAATCTACAAAATGTGGCAATTTATCAATAAAATACAAGACAAAAACAAAACAACAAAATTAGTACAATTAAAAAAGAAAATGGTGAACTAGTGAGTAATGATGTAGATATAGCAAATGAATTTTGTGAATATTTTTCAAAAATCGGGAAAAGGTCAGAAAACATAAAAGACCCGGAGAAATTAAATTATAGTAAGACCAGATTATATAACTCATTATATCTGGAACCGACCGATACGCATGAAATAAGGACAATAATCAATGAATTGAAATTAAGAAAATCTCCAGGTCTAGATAATATAACAGCATATACTCCCAAGAGAATAAATTCCAACATCTGCGGCATACTGTCATATTTGATAAATTCTTGTATGAATAAAGGAATATTCCAGACCATTACAGGGCTATTAGCAAGCTGTGCATATTCTCGAAGATGTTCAAAAAACTAATTTATAACGAAATACTTTTTGACGTAAAAAATGTAATCATTCAGCAACAGCATGGATTTTTCCGGAAAGGTGCCTGGATACCAATTTGCTTTGTTTCACTGACTTCGTTTCCGATGATTTGGACAGAAATTTCCAAGTCGATGCTATTTATACCCACTTCAGCAAGGCTTTTGATCGAGTTGATCATAATTTGCTATTTACAAACCTTGCGATGCTCTTGCAATGTGGGTTTCATCTTATTCGCGCGATAGAGAATTCTTCGTATGTATAAATCCAGAGTCGTTATTCCATTATCGGGAGTTCCTCAGGGTAGCCACGTAGGGCCATTACTCTTCTTAATTTATATAAATGACATCGCGTAATGCTTCAGACATTGCCAGTTTCTTCTTCACGCAGATGACTTAAAGACGTATCGTTTAGTTGAAATCCTTCTCTGATATCGACAAACTCAGCGATTATTGTCAGAGAAATGACATGTCACTTAAAACAAGCTGATCTCTGCAGGTGAGCTGGAAAAAACAAGACTAGCGGTAACTTCTTCTCTGTCGAGGGACCTGGCGATCTAGCTCTTCTAGCTCTACACCAACAGGCTTTTCTCCTCAGAGCTCTCGTCCATGATGCCGCCGCGCGATCTGCCTGCCACACAGACCCGCCTGACTTCGGCCTCCCTGCCTAACCATGTCGAACTTCATACATCCTTTTTTTTTTTTTTTGGTGAGGGGGGAATGCATTTACGCACCATACCATAGCCCGAGCTACGGCGTGTGTGGGACTCCAGGGTCTTGAGGAGATCACCTAATACCCACTAAACCCTAAACCTCCGCGTGGCCTGACTCATCAGCGTCTCGGTAGGCCATGTGTTGTGCGTGACCTGCGGTCTGCTACAACGTCTCCTCATGTGTTTCAGTCTCTGGGAACGCCGGGTTGGTTCCCTTTACCTCGCACATTCTATCGATGTCGTTAAGCGATCATCGATAGAGGGTCTGCTGGTTCTCTTGAAACTCTTGTTTTCGAAAAATCAAGAGTTTCAAGTCCTCTTACCAATATGTTGTTCCTGGTCCTGGTCCTGAAGGGTCCTGGTCCTGGTGGGTCCTGGTCGTGGCGGGTCCTGGTCCTGGTTGGTCCTGGTCCCGGTGGGTCCTGGTCCCGGTGGTTCCTGGTCCTCTGCATCCACGCCGTGGGGGGGGAGCAACCGCGAGTTCTCCTAGTCTCCTAGTCAAGGTTCCAGTTAGCGGGTGCCAACTGGGACCTTGGTCTGGGGTACCTGGTTCTGCGGTTGCGAGGCCTCTCGTCCGGATCGTAGTCCATGAGGAATCGTAGCTGCTCGTTCGGGTGGTCCTGAGCTTTCTCGAAGGTCTTCTCCGCTTTTTTCCTCATGTACTCGTGGATGGTGTCCCAATGCAGGTCTCTACGCAAGGTTGAGTTTCTTACGTAGGGTGGTGCACTGGTGGCGATCCGGAGTAGCTTCATCTCTAGAGCAGCAAGTCGCTTGCGGTAGCTGGGGGCAGCGTACCCCCAGACCGCGGAGGCGTAAGCGAGCTGAGGTCTGGCGATGGCCTTGATCAGCCGTAGCTTGGTCGCTAGCGGCATCCGGCTGTGTCTACCCAGTAATGGGTAGAGTTGAGCCATGGCTGCTCTGGTCTTTGCGATGACAGCTTCTATGTGGGCTTTCCAGGTGAGGGACTTGTCAAATACGATCCCCAGATATTTGACTTTGTCGCTCCACTGGATATCTTCGTCGAAGATGGATGCTTCGAGAGGTCTTGCAATCCTTCTTCGTTGAATGAAGATTGCCTGCGTCTTCTGGACGTTGATGCGGATTTTCCATTTCACGCACCAGTCCTGGATGTGGTCGTCTATGCTTGGCGGCTATAGCAGTATCGTCTGCATATAGGGCCAGCATTGTGTCAGCTGTCTTCGGCACATCGTGAGTATAGATGTTGTAGAGCAGGGGGGCTAAGGCTGACCCCTGGGGCACGCCTGCTTCCAGCTGTCGTCTTGTTGAATGGCATGTACCAATTTTCACCGTGAACCATCTTTGTGTTAGATAGCTCTGGATCAGTTGGCACATGTTCGCATCGATTCCTGCGGCTTCCATTTTGGCGATGAGTCCATCGTGCCAAACTCGATCGAAGGCTCGTTCCACGTCCAGCAGGACGAGACCGGTTGCCTCCTGGAGATTGAAGCCGCTGGTGATGTTTTCCGTTAGTCGTTAGTCGTTAGAGTTCCGTGTTGTGGGATTCATACATCCAAAACTGCGTCCGCTTTTTTGTCCCGAGGGTGTCGAGATTGTGGGACAATCTACAAGAGGATGCTGTTCCCAGTTCTACTAACCTTAGACGAAAATCGTATTAACAAAATTTCTTTGGGAACCTCACGGTATAAAAAAAGAGTTAAAGCTTAAACAGTCTTAACGTTTTCATATGCCACGAATTTCTATTATATCTCGCATCCACGCTTTTTGACAAGGTTCTCTTTTTAGTTAGCCTCAGTGTGTAGGAACTCTGTGAACTTCTTACGTAATAAGTGTACTGGATGATTCTTGGGCTGATTTTGGCATATTTTTTTTCAGAAATCGCTGGATGTTAACAAGTATGCCACGAAGAAGACTATAGCCCAAGGCCTCCTAGATGTAGCTTTGCTAACAGCTAATGCTTCTCAGTTGAAGTACGTGCTTCAAGTTGGTGAAAAGCATGAGTTCTACACTTTGATGCTGACACTCATCATAGTGTCCATTATACTGCAAGTGAGTTTGACGAGTTTGATATATTTTTTTACAGGTTGGGCAACCAAAACTCATATATACTGATGGACAGAAAACGGTAAATACTACGTATGTTTGTCCGATTTACTAATTTTTGACATAGAGGGTGTCCCAGAAGTCAACGTTAAGCCGAAACCGGGCGATAGGCAAAGACGTAACAGCTATCAGAAAAATATTTAAAAAAATGTTATGTATGTGTTTTGAAAATTATAGGTCTTTGAAAAAAATATAGAAATTTCACACCCTACGGCAGTCTGTCAACTCCTGTTACTACAAATATTAACTTTTTTTGGATTTTATTTTTACAATGTAATGATGAATAATGCATCTTCAAACTGACAACTTTTCTCGTTCAGGAAAAATTGCCACTTATTTCCCAACCAAGTATTCCAAAGTAAAACTTTGCTCAACTTTAACTTTTCAAAATTTCCTAATTAAACAGCGATTATGAAAACGCACATGGACCTTTAAGGATAACTGTTTGCACAACAGTGGGCGTCAAAATGCTGCTGATGATGATTTACCTTTACAGCAAATGCTTAAACTGTTTTCCTTCAGCCGCAACACACGCTCGACATCTTCTTAAAAAAGATCGGGTTATTAAACGAGCGAATCCACGGTTATTAACAAACTCAGCTGCTTCCAATAGTCTTTGCCGTAGCTCAGCTACATTTTGAATCGGCTTGAAATACACTTTTTCTTTTACAGTTCCCCAGTAAAAAAAATCTAACGGATTCAAATCTGGTAACCGGGCTGGCCACGGTATTGTACCAGACCGCCTTATCCATCTGCCTGGAAAGTTTTGATCGAGATACTCTCTCACTGAGAGTGCATAGTGCGCTGGGCAGCCATCATGCTGAAGCCACATGTCCCTGTAAATACTCAGTAGCACGTCCTCCAATAAATTTTCTAAATGATTTTGCAAAAAACCTAAATAAACCTCAGCAGTCAAAGTCTCTGGAAACTCAAACGGACCGATTATTTTACCATTTAAAATTCCTGTCCAATGGTTTATCTTGAAGCGATATTGAGATTTATCGTCTCTCATCAAATGTGGGTTTGCTACGTGCCACTCGTGTAAGTTATGCAGGTTCATGTACCCATCTTTCTTAAATGTGGTCTCATCTGACCATAAAATTTTTTCAAAGAACCGTGGATCTTCCCTGTGTCTTCTAACATTGTGCGACAAAAAGCAACTCGGGGCTCATAATCTCGGGGCAGAAGAGCTTGAACACGCTGTACGTGGTATGGATGGAGCACGTTTTTTTGCAAGATTCTATGGGCTGTACTTTTGGGCACACCTGTTTTTAGTTCTATTGCACGCACTGAAGTACTCGGGTCTTCTTCGACAGCTCCTAGCACCACGTCTTCGTAAGGAAGGAAAAATCTTCCCTCACCGTGTGATTGGTTTGTAGTTGGCCCTCTGAGCCCTCTAAGCGGTGCACATTTGTGAACACTCGATGATCTGGATGACGAGCTGCATGCGGGTACCTCTCACAGTAAAGTCTCGCTGCAGCACTAGCGTTGCATCTGCATTCCCCATAAATGAGGTGCATGTTAGCATATTCTTGTACGGTGTACACGGACATAGCGGCACTGCACAATCACACTATCAAAGATAGTCTAAGGAAAGCAAATGTTGTTTTGAAGAGCAATTAAACAGTCCAAATTCAAATCACAAGCGATCAACAGTCCAGTTCACGAATCCAAAATTAGTAACAGTACGAAATCAACAAGCACGAACATGTAAAGATGCGCAGTAAACGAAGGAGTACTGATCGGTATCAAAGTGAGCAATAGCAAGTAAGTGATGTGCTTCATCCATATCACATACAGCGTGTTCAACCTCTCCTGCCCCGGGATTATGAGCCCCGAGTTGCTTTTTGTCGCACAATGTTAGAAAGACACAGGAAAGATCCACAGTTCTTTGAAAAAATTTTATGGTCGGATGAGACCACATTTAAGAAAGATGGGTACATGAACCTGCATAACTTACACGAGTGGCACGTAGCAAACCCACATTTGATGAGAGAAGATAAATCTCAATATCGCTTCAAGATAAACCATTGGACAGGAATTTTAAATGGTAAAATAATCGGTCCGTTTGAGTTCCCAGAAACTTTGACTGCTGAAGTTTATTTGGATTTTTTGAAAAATCATGTACAAAATTTATTGGTGGACGTGCCACTGAGTATTTACAGAGACATGTGGTTTCAGCATGATGGCTGCCCAGCGCACTATGCACTCTCAGTGAGAGAGTATCTCGATCAAAACTTTCCAGGCAGACGGATAGGGCGGTCTGGTACAATACCGTGGCCAGCCCGATCACCTGATTTGAATCCTTTAGATTTTTTTACTGGGGAACTGTAAAAGAAAAAGTGTATTTCAAGCCAATTCAAAATGTAGCTGAGCTACGGCAAAGACTATTGGAAGCAGCTGAGTTTGTTAATAACCGTGGATTCGCTCGTTTAATAACCCGATCTTTTTTAAGAAGATGTCGAGCGTGTATTGCGGCTGAAGGAAAACAGTTTGAGTATTTGCTGTAAAGGTAAATCATCATCAGCAGCATTTTGACGCCCACTGTTGTACAAACAGTTATCCTTAAGGGTCCTTGTGCGTTTTCATAATCGCTGTTTAATTAGGAAATTTTGAAAAATTTTCATCAGTTTTTCTTCAAATAAAAATTGTGCATAAGTTAACGAGTAATCTTCTAAGTGTTATACCATTTTGGAATCCTTCTTAAATGCGCCAACTTTTAAGGTTACTTGCCAAACTCTCGTAGTACATTTTTTCCAGTACAGCCAGTTAAAGTTGAGCAAAGTTTTACTTTGGAATACTTGGTTGGGAAATAAGTGGCAATTTTTCCTGAACGAGAAAAGTTGGCAGTAAAGTTGAGACACCAGTTTGAAGATGCATTATTCATCATTATATTGTGAAAATAAAATCCAAAAAAAGTTAATATTTGTAGTAACAGGAGTTGACAGACTGCCGTAGGGTGTGAAATTTCTATATATTTTTGAAAGACCTATAATTTTCAAAACACATACATAAAATTTTTTTAAATATTTTTTGATAGCTGTTATGACTTTGCCTATCACCCGGTTTCGGCTTGACGTCGACTTCTGGGACACTCTGTATATGTTCAGTGTCCCTTACTGATAAAATGTTGATGGCAAAACAAATCGATATGATAAAAATTCTTGAATTCTAATAAACATACGTAGGTGTTTACGTTTTTTGTTACTGAGTATATGTACACTGTAGAGGGTGATCAACTAAGAATGCGATGTACTGTAGCTGGGAACCTATCCATCGCAGAGGTTTGCGACAAAAACAGCTGTTACTAAAATGGCCAAGAGGAAAGCCTGGAAAATACTTTCAAGTTTCTGGAATGGCTGCTAGGGGGCGTAACGGCAATCTTGAATCTAAAAAAGTGATGTTTCTGTGAATTCCGCTATAACCTAACAATAAAATACCTGATCTTTAAACCAGGATGCAGTGATTTTTTTTGTTTGACAATTTTTGCTGTATCGCTAAAAATAATGTGGTGAGAGGTATTCAAAGGTGTCCGTAAAAAACACCCTGTATCTTCTAAACGGCTGAGCCGATTTTAACAAACTTGAAAAGTGCTATTCTTGGGATACAAATGTTATATTATTTGAAGTTTAGTTAGTTTCACATATGGCCACTAGAGGGCTTTTTTCTACATTCCGACAAAAACTGTTAATTTTCTCATGAAAACTAAATGCATTGGTATGTTTTTTTTATGAAAAATCAGCTAAATGATGATCATAAAAACCGCATCTCGATATCTTGTTCCTAACCTAAAATTTACTCCAAAGAAAATTTTATTCGGAAATCCTTAAAATTTATAACGGGTGATTTTTTTTGCTAGTATCTTTTTGGCAACACTGTTTTTGACAGATGACGCGTGAATCGTGTCTTGGGTCATTGTCAAACTTGTTCAGTTTGGTCTATAATTTAACCATGAATCGACTTACGAACGAACAACGCTTGCAAATTATTGAATTTTTCTATCAAAATTCATGCTCGGTTAAGAGAGTACATCGAGCACTGCTTCCAATTTATGGGCAATTTGGTCGGCCTACTGAGGGAGCTATTCGGAAGCTCGTGACTAAATTTCGAACCCAGTTTACATTATTGGACATTAAACCGCCAAAACGTAGACGTAGAGTGAGGAGTGAAGAAAATATTGCGGCTGTATCCGCCAGTGTTAGTGATGAAAATCACCCGTTATTTCTTAAATCGTATTTCTCTGGAATTCCTGTTTATTATTAAAAAAATAACCATTCCTGTCTAACTAACTAACGTTTGAATGCCTTCCACCATTTTATTTTTAGAGATACAGCAAAATTGTTAAACAAAAAAAGTTCACCATTTCCCCGACTTTAAAGATCAGGTATTTTTTTGTTAGGTTAATATACTTTTTCAAGATTGCAGGTACGCCCCCTAGCGGCAATTTCAGAAACTTGACAATATTTTCCAGGGTTTCATCTTGGACCGTTTATGTAAGAACTTTTTTTGCCGCAAGGATACGGTACTCCGCATTCTCATTTGGCCACCCTGTACATCTCGAATAAGTTTAGCATTGATCATTGTAATGAAATACTTTTTTGATGCCTTTTTGATAACAATATGTCTATTCTAATTAGGTCTTAGTGGGAATATTATGCTTGACCTTACATTTCCTGAGAGACTGCAGATTGGAGATTGAAAGCTACCACGCCACAGCAAATTTCTTGAATCACATTACCACCGTTCTGGCATTTGTTATTACAATCTTAAATCTTTTAATTTCCTGTTTTGATCCCACAATTGCTAAATACGCCGTCTTTGACGCTCCGGATGTTACAGCGCTTGATTCGATTCGAAAATAACAAAAAACGATTTGTTTCTAATTTAGATTAATACAACGAGGTATATTTTACAAATTTGGAAAATGTTTTTAATTTCAGTTCCTG